GGTTGTGACAGTGTGTATTGTAGGGGTTGCGACGGTGTGTATCGTAGTGGTTGCGACTCTGAGTGTATCGTTGTGGTTGCGACGGTACATATCGTAGTGGTTGCGACTGTGTGTATCTTAGTGGCTGTGTCGGTGTGTATCGTAGTGGTTGTGACAGTGTGTATCGTAGTGGTGGCGACGGTACATAACGTAGTGGTTGCGACTGTGTGTATCGTAGTGGTTGTGACGGTGTGTATCGTAGTGGTTGTGACATTGTGTATCGTAGTGGTTGCGGCGGTGTGTGGTAGTGGTTGCGAAGGTACATATCGTATTGGTTGCGACTGTGTGTATCGTAGTTGTGACAGTGTGTATCGTAGTGGTTGTGACAGTGTGTAACATAGTGGCTGCGACGGTGTGTATCGTAGTGGTTGTGAAAGTGTGTATCGTAGTAGTTGCGACGGTGTGTATCATAGTGGTTGCGATGGAGTATATCGTAGTGGTTGCGACGGTGTGTATCGTAGTGGGTGCGTCGGTGTGTATGGTAGTGATTGTGACAGTGTGTATCGTATTGGTTGCGGCGGTAAGCATCGTACTGGTTGTGACTGTGTATCGTAGTGGTTGCGACGGTATATATTGTAGTAGTTGCGACTGTGTGTGTATTGTAGCGATTGCGACGGTGAGTATCGAAGTGGTTGCGCCGGTGTGTATCGTAGTGATTGCGACGGTGTGTTTCGTAGTGGTTGCGACGGTGTGTATCGTAGTGATTGCGACGGAGTGTATCGTAATGATTGCGACTGTGTGTATCGTAGTGGTTGCGACGGTGTGTATTGTAGTGGTTGTGACGGTGTGTATCGTAGCGGTTGCGACGGTGTGTATCGTAGTGGTTGCAGCAGTGTGTATCGTAGTAGTTACGACGGTGTGTATCGTAGTGGTTCTGACAGTGTGTGTCGTAGTGGTTGCGACGGTATATATCGTAGTGGTTACGACGGTGTGTATCGTAGTGATTGCGACAGTGTGTATCGTAGTAGTTATGACGGTCTGTATCGTAGTAGTTGCGACGGTGTGTATTGTAGTAGTGGCGACTGTGTGTATCGTAGTGGTTGCGACGGTGTGTATCATAGTGTTGTGATGGTGAGCATCGTAGTGATTGCGACGGTGTGTATCGTAGTGGTTGCGACTGTGTGTATCATAGTGGTTGCGACGGTGAGTATTATTGTGGTTGTGACAGTGTGTATCGTAGTGGTTGCGACGGTGAGCATCGTAGTGCTTTCGACGGTGTGTATCATAGCGGTTGCTACGGTGAGCATCGTAGTGGTTGCGATGGTGTGCATCGTATTGGTTGCGACTGTGTGTGTATCGTAGTGGTTGCGACGGTGTACATCGTAGTGGTTGTGACAGTGTGTATCGCAGCGGTTGCGTCTTTGAGTATCGTAGTGGTTGCGACGGTGTATATCGTAGTGGTTGTGACAGTGTACTCACCTAATTGTACTCACCTAATTGTGCTTGCGGGGGTTGAGCTTTGGCTCTTTGGTCCCGCCTCTCAACTGTCAATCAACTGGTGTACAGTTTGGCTTTACTCGCTATGTCATTTTCAAACTGATTCTCTGTATCCCTCCTCACTCTGAAGTACTCATTTCTGGCCCTCTGGTATCTCTCCCTGCTCTCTGGTGTTCTGTTATTTCTGTAGTTTCTCCATGTTCTTTTACTCAGTTGCTTCGCTACCTTGCATTCCTGGTTGAACCATGGGTTTTTCTGTTGTTTTTCGTTTTTCTCCTTTTGGACGGGGATAAACCTGTCTGCAGCTTCCTGGCACTTCTGGGTGACAAAATCCATCATGACCTGCACATTCTTGTCTCTAAGTTCTGTTTCCGATGGTATTCCCCCGAGGAAGTTCCTCGTCTCCTCATATTTTCCTCTTCAGTAATTCAATCTTTTTCCCTCCGCTCCCATCCTTGGATAAGTTATCCCTACCTCCACCAAGTACTCAAAGGTCAGTACAATGTGGTCACTCATTCCTATAGGGGCTTCAACTTTGACTTCCCTTATTTCTGACTCATTCAGGGTGAATATCAAGTCGAGTCTAGGTGGTTCATCATTGCCTCTCACTCTTGTGAGAGGCAATCTCTCTCACTCTCACTCCTTGACATGCTGGCTCAGAAAATTCCTTGTTGCCACTTCCAAGAGGAAAATTCCTTGTTGCCGCTCTCCACGTATCGTAGTGGTTGTGACAGTGTGTATCGAAGTGCTTGCGACAGTGTGTATCGTAGTGGTTGAGACTCTGTGTGTATAGTACTGGTTGCGATGGTACATATCGTAGTGGTTGCGACTGTGTGAATCATAGCGGTTGCGACGGTGATTATCGTAGTGGTTGCGACGGTATATATCGCAGTAGTTGCGACTGTGTGTGTATCGTAGTGATTGTGACGGTGTGTTTCGTAGTGGTTGCGACGGTGTGTATCGTAGTGGTTGTGACAGTGTGTATCGTAGTGGTTGCGACGGTGTCTTTCGTAGTGGTTACGACGGTGTGCATCGAAGCGGTTGCGACGGTGTGTATCGTAGCAGTGGCGACGGTGTGTATCGTAGCGGTTGCGACGGTGGGTATCGTAGGGGTTGCGACGGTGTGTATCGTGGAGGTTACGACGGTGTATATCGTAGTGGTTCTGACGGTGTGTATCGTCGTGGTTGCGACGGTGTGTGTCGTAGTGGTTGCGACAGTGTGTATCGTAGTGATTGCGACGGTGTGTATCGTAGTGGTTGCGACAGTGTGTATCGTAGTAGTTGTGACAGTGTGTATCGTAGTGGTTGCGACGGTGTGTATCGTAGTGGTTGCGAAGGTGTGTATCGTAGGGGTTGCGACGGTGTATATCGTAGTGGTTGCAATGGTGTGTGTATCATAGTAGTTGCGACGGTGTGTATCGTAGTGGTTGTGACTGTGTGTATCATAGCGGTTGCGACGGTGTGTATCGTAGTAGTTGCAAGGGTATATATCGTAGTAGTTGTGACTGTGTGTGTATTGTAGCGGTTGCGACGGTGAGTATCGTAGTGGTTGCGACGGTGTGTATCGTAGTATTTGCGACGGTGAGTTTCGAAGTGATTGCGACGGTGTGTATCGTAGTGGTTGCAACAGTGTGTATCGTAGTGATTGCGATGATGTGTATCGTAGTGGTTGCGACGATGTGTATAGTAGATGTTGCGACAGTGTTTATCAAAGCGGTTGCGACGGTGTGTATCGTAGTGGCTGCGACGGTATATATCATAGTAGTTGCGAATGTGTGTGTATCGTAGCGGTTGCGACGGTGAGTATCGTAGTGGTTGCGAAGGTGTATATCGTAGTGGTTGCGACGGTGTATATAGTAGTGATTGCGACGGTGTGTATCGTAGTGTTTGTGACGGTGTGTATCATAGTGGTTGCGACTGTGTGTATCATAGTGGTTGCGACGGTGAGTATTGTTGTGGTTGTGACAGTGTGTATCGTAGTGGTTGCGACGGTGACCATCGTAGTGTTGCGACGGTGTGTATCGTAGTGGTTGCGACGGTGAGTATTGTTGTGGTTTAAGAGTGTGTATCGTAGTGGTTGGGACGTTGAGCATCGTAGTTGTTGCGAAGGTGTGTATCGTAGTGGTTGTTACAGTGTGTATCGTAGTGGTTGCGACAGTGTGTGAATTGTATTGGTTGCGACGGTGTATATCGTAATGGTTGTGACAGTGTGTATCACACTGGTTGCGACTGTGTGTATCGTAGTGGCTGCGACGGTGTTTATCGTAGTGGTTCCGACGGTATGTATCGTAGTGGTTGTGACAGTGTGTATTGTAGGGGTTGCGACGGTGTGTATCGTAGTGGTTGCGACTGTGTGTGTATCGTAGTGGTTGCTACGGTACATATCATAGTGGTTGCGACTGTGTGCATCGTAGTGGTTGCAACGGTGAGTATCGTAGTGATTGCGACGGTGTGTATCGTAGTGGTTGCGACAGTGAGTAGTGTTGTGGTTGTGACAGTGTGTATCGTAGTGGTTGCGTCGGTGTATATCGTAGTGGGGCTGACAGTGTGTATCGTAGTGGTTGCGACGGTGTGTATCGTAGTGGTTGCGAAGGTGTGTATCGTAGTGGTTGTTACAGTGTGTATCGTAGTGGTTGTTACAGTGTGTATCGTAGTGGTTGCGACGGTGTGTGTATTGTAGGGGTTGCGACGGTGTATATCGTAGTGGTTGCGATGGTGTGTGTATCATAGTAGTTGCGACGGTGTATATCGTAGTGGTTGCGATGGTGTTTATCGTAGTGGTGGCGACTGTGTGTATCATAGCAGTTGCGACGGTGTGTATCGTAGTAGTTGCAAGGGTATATATCGTAGTAGTTGCGACTGTGTGTGTATTGTAAGGGTTGCGACGGTGAGTATCGTAGTGGTTGCGACGGTGTGTATCGTAGTATTTTCGACGGTGAATTTTGAAGTGATTGCGACGGTGTGTATCGTAGTGATTGCGATCATGTATATCGTAGTGGTGTCGACGATGTGTATAGTAGATGTTGCGACAGTGTTTATCGTAGTGGTTGCGGCTATGTGCATCATAGCGGTTGCGACGGTGTGTATCGTAGTAGCTGCGACGGTATATATCGTAGTGGTTGCGACTGTGTGTATCGTAGTGATTGTGTCGGTGTGTATCGTAGTGGTTGCGACGGTGTGTATCGTAGCAGTTGCGACGGGGTGTATAGTAGTGGTTGCGACTGTGTGTGTATCGTAGTGGTTGCGACTGTGTGTGTATCGAAGTGGTTGCGACGGTGTGTATCGTAGTGGCTGTGACGGTGTGTATCGTAGTGGTTGTGACAGAGTGTATCTTAGTGGTTGCGACGGTGTGTACCGTAGTGGCTGCGACGGTGTGTATCGTTGTGGTGTCGACGGTGTGAATCGTAGCGGTTGCGACGGTGTGTATCGTAGCGGTTGCGACAGTGTGTATCGTAGTAGTTGCGACGGTGTGTATCGTAGTGGCTGCAACGGTGTGTATCGTAGTGGATGCGACGGTGTGTATCTTAGTGATTGCGACGGTGTGTATCGTAGTGGTTGCGACGGTGTTTATCGTAGCGGTTGCGACGGTGTGTTTCGTAGTGGTTGCGACAATTTGTATCGTAGTGGTTTGAAGGGTGTGTATCGTAGTTGTTCTGACGGTGTGTATCGTAGTGGTTGCGACGGTGAGTATTGTTGTGGTTGTGACAGTGTGTATCGTAGTGGTTGCGATGTTGAGCATCGTGGTGGTTGCGACGGTGTGCATCGTAGCGGTTGCTACGGCGTGTATCGTAGTGGTTGTGACTGTGTATATTGTAGTGGTTGCGACGGTGTATATCGTTGTGGTTCTGACAGCGTGTATCGTAGTGGTTGCGACTTTGTGTATCATAGTGGATGCGACGGTGTGTATCGCAGTGGTTGTGATAGTGTGTATCGTAGTGGTTGCGACGGTGTGTGTATTGTAGGGGTTGCGACGGTGTATATCGTAGTGGTTGCGACTGTTTGTGTATTGTAGGGGTTGCGACGGTGTATATCGTAGTGGTTGCGACGGTGTGTATTGTTGTGGTTGTGACAGCGTGTATCGTAGTGGTTGCGATGGTGAGCATCGTAGTGGTTGCGACGGTGTTTATCGGAGCGGTTGCAACGGCGTGTATCGTTGTGGTTGCGACGGTGTATATTGTAGTGGTTGCGACTTTGTGTATCGTAGTGGTTGCGACGGTGTGTATCGCAGTGGTTGTGACAGTGTGTATCGTAGTGGTGGCGACGGTACATATCGTAGTGGTTGTGACTGTGTGTATTGTAGGGGTTGCGACGGTGTATATCGTAGTGGTTGTGACTGTGTATCGTAGTGGTTGCGACTTTGTTTATCGTAGTGGTTGCGACGGTGTATATCGTAGTGGTTGTGACAGTGTGTATCGTAGTGATTGCGACGGTGCGTATCGTAGTGATTGTGACAGTGGGTATCGTAGTGGTTGTGACAGTGTGTATCGTAGTAGTTGTGATGTTGTGTATCTTAGTGGTTGCGACAGTGTGCATCGTAGTGGCTGCGACGGAGTATATCGAAGTGGTTATGACGGTGTGTATCGTAGTGGTTGTAACAGTGTGTATCGTAATGGTTGCGACTGTGTGTATCGTAGTGGCTGCGACGGTGTGTATCGTTGTGGTGTCGAAGGTGTGAATCGTAGCGGTTGCGACAGTGTGTATCGTAGCGGTTGCGACGTTGTGTATCATAGTGGTTGCGATGGTGTGTATCGTAGTGGTTGCGACGGAGTGTATCGTAGTGGTTGCGACGGGGTTTATCGTAGTGGTTGCGACGGTGTGTATCGTAGTGGTTGCGACGGTGTGTATCGTAGTGGGTGCGACGCTGTGTATCGTAGTGGTTGCAATGGTATATATCATAGTGGTTGCGACGGTGTGTGTCGTAGTGGTTGCGATGGTGTGTATCGTAGTGATTGCGACGGTGTGTATCGTAGCGGTTGCGACGGTGTGTATCGAAGTGGTTTCCACGGTGTATATCGTAGTGGTTGCGACGGTGTGTATCGTAGTGGTTGTGAGGGTGTGTAACGTAGTAGTTGCGACGGTGTGTATCGTAGTAGTTGCGACGGTGTGTATCGTAGTGGTTGCGATGGTGAGCATCGTAGTGGTTGCGGCAGTGTGTATCGTAGTGGTTTCGACGGTGAGTATTGTTGTGGTTGTGCCAGTGTGTATCGTAGTGGTTGCGACGGTGTTTATCGTAGCGGTTGCGACGGTGTGTTTCGTAGTGGTTGCGACAATTTGTATCGTAGTGGGTTGAAGGGTGTGTATCATAGTTGTTCTGACGGTGTGTATCGTAGTGGTTGCGACGGTGAGTATTGTTGTGGTTGTGACAGTGTGTATCGTAGTGGTTGCGATGTTGAGCATCGTAGTGGTTGCGACGGTGTGCATCGTAGCGGTTGCTACGGCGTGTATCGTAGTGGTTGTGACTGTGTATATTGTAGTGGTTGCGACGGTGTATATCGTTGTGGTTCTGACAGCGTGTATCATAGTGGTTGCGACTTTGTGTATCATAGTGGATGCGACGGTGTGTATCGCAGTGGTTGTGATAGTGTGTATCGTAGTGGTTGCGACGGTGTGTGTATTGTAGGGGTTGCGACGGTGTATATCGTAGTGGTTGCGACTGTTTGTGTATTGTAGGGGTTGCGACGGTGTATATCGTAGTGGTTGCGACGGTGTGTATTGTTGTGTTTGTGACAGCGTGTATCGTAGTGGTTGCGATGGTGAGCATCGTAGTGGTTGCGACGGTGTTTATCGGAGCGGTTGCAACGGCGTGTATCGTTGTGGTTGCGACGGTGTATATTGTAGTGGTTGCGACTTTGTGTATCGTAGTGGTTGCGACAGTGTGTATCGCAGTGGTTGTGACAGTGTGTATCGTAGTGGTGGCGACGGTACATATCGTAGTGGTTGTGACTGTGTGTATTGTAGGGGTTGCGACGGTGTATATCGTAGTGGTTGTGACTGTGTATCGTAGTGGTTGCGACTTTGTTTATCGTAGTGGTTGCGACGGTGTATATCGTAGTGGTTGTGACAGTGTGTATCGTAGTGGTTGCGACGGTGCGTATCGTAGTGATTGTGACAGTGGGTATCGTAGTGGTTGTGACAGTGTGTATCGTAGTAGTTGTGATGTTGTGTATCTTAGTGGTTGCGACAGTGTGTATCGTAGTGGCTGCGACGGAGTATATCGAAGTGGTTATGACGGTGTGTATCGTAGTGGTTGTAACAGTGTGTATCGTAATGGTTGGGACTGTGTGTATCGTAGTGGCTGCGACGGTGTGTATCGTTGTGGTGTCGAAGGTGTGAATCGTAGCGGTTGCGACAGTGTGTATCGTAGCGGTTGCGACGTTGTGTATCGTAGTGGTTGCGATGGTGTGTATCGTAGTGGTTGCGACGGAGTGTATCGTAGTGGTTGCGACGGGGTTTATCGTAGTGGTTGCGACGGTGTGTATCGTAGTGGTTGCGACGGTGTGTATCGTAGTGGGTGCGACGCTGTGTATCGTAGTGGTTGCGATGGTATATATCATAGTGGTTGCGACGGTGTGTGTCGTAGTGGTTGCGATGGTGTGTATCGTAGTGATTGCGACGGTGTGTATCGTAGCGGTTGCGACGGTGTGTATCGAAGTGGTTTCCACGGTGTATATCGTAGTGGTTGCGACGGTGTGTATCGTAGTGGTTGTGAGGGTGTGTATCGTAGTAGTTGCGACGGTGTGTATCGTAGTAGTTGCGACGGTGTGTATCGTAGTGGTTGCGATGGTGAGCATCGTAGTGGTTGCGGCAGTGTGTATCGTAGTGGTTTCGACGGTGAGTATTGTTGTGGTTGTGCCAGTGTGTATCGTAGTGGTTGCGATAGTGAGCATCGTAGTGGTTGCGACGGTGTGAATCGTAGTTGTTGCGACAGTTAGTATTGTTGTGGTTGTGACAGTGTGTATCGTAGAGGTTGTGACAGTGTGTATCGTAGTGGTTGCGATGGTGTGTGTATTGTAGGGGTTGCGACGGTGTATATCGTAGTGGTTGCGACGGTGTGTATCGTAGCGGTTGTGACAGTGTGTATCGTAGTGGTTGCGACGGTGTGTGTATTGTAGGGGATGCGACGGTGTATATCGTAGTGGTTGCGACGGAGTGTATCGTAGCGGTTGTGACAGTGTGTATCGTAGTAGTTGGGACTGTGTGTATATCGTAGTGGTTGCGACTGTGTGTGTATTGTAGTGGTTGCGACTGTGTGTGTATCGTAATGATTGCGATGGTGTGTATCGTAGCGGTTGCGACGGTGTGTATCGTAGTAGTTGCGACGGTATATATCGTAGTGATTGCGACGGTGTGTATCGTAGTTGTTGTGACGGTGTGTATCGTAGTAGTTGCGACGGTGTGTATCGTAATAGTTGAGACGGTGTGTATCATAATGGTTTAAACGGTGTGTATCGTAGTGGTTCTGACGGTGTGTATCGTAGTGGTTGAGATGGTATATATCATAGTTGTTGCGACGGAGTGTGTCGTACTTGTTGCGATGGTTCGTATCGTAGTGATTGCGACGGTGTGTATTGTAGCGGTTGCGACGGTGTGTATCGTAGTAGTTGCGACGGTGTATATCGTAGTGATTGCGACGGTGTATCGTAGTGGTTCTGTCGGTGTGTATCGTAGTGGTTGTGACAGTGTGTATCGTAGTGGCTGCGACGGTACATAGCGTAGTTGTGGCGACTGTGTGTATCCTAGTGGTTGTGACGGTGTGTATCGTAGTGGTTGCGACTGTGTGTGTATCGTAGTGGTTGCCATGATACATATCGTAGTGCTTGCGACTGTGTGTATCGTAGTGGTTTGCGACGGTGTATATCGTAGTGGTTGCGACGGTGTATATAGTAGTGATTGCGACGGTGTGTATCGTAGTGTTTGTGACGGTGTGTATCATAGTGGTTGCGACTGTGTGTATCATAGTGGTTGCGACGGTGAGTATTGTTGTGGTTGTGACAGTGTGTATCGTAGTGGTTGCGACGGTGAGTATTGTTGTGGTTTAAGAGTGTGTATCGTAGTGGTTGGGACGTTGAGCATCGTAGTTGTTGCGAAGGTGTGTATCGTAGTGGTTGTTACAGTGTGTATCGTAGTGGTTGCGACAGTGTGTGAATTGTATTGGTTGCGACGGTGTATACCGTAGTGGTTGTGACAGTGTGTATCACAGTGGTTGCGACTGTGTGTATCGTAGTGGCTGCGACGGTGTATATCGTAGTGGTTGCGACGGTATGTATCGTAGTGGTTGTGACAGTGTGTATTGTAGGGGTTGCGACAGTGAGTAGTGTTGTGGTTGTGACAGTGTGTATCGTAGTGGTTGCGTCGGTGTATATCGTAGTGGTTGTTACAGTGTGTATCGTAGTGGTTGTTACAGTGTGTAACGTAGTGGTTGCGACGGTGTGTGTATTGTAGGGGTTGCGACGGTGTATATCGTAGTGGTTGCGATGGTGTGTGTATCATAGTAGTTGCGACGGTGTATATCGTAGTGGTTGCGATGGTGTTTATCGTAGTGGTGGCGACTGTGTGTATCATAGCGGTTGCGACGGTGTGTATCGTAGTAGTTGCAAGGGTATATATCGTAGTAGTTGCGACTGTGTGTGTATTGTAGGGGTTGCGACGGTGAGTATCGTAGTGGTTGCGACGGTGTGTATCGTAGTATTTTCGACGGTGAATTTTGAAGTGATTGCGACGGTGTGTATCGTAGTGATTGCGATCATGTATATCGTAGTGGTGTCGACGATGTGTATAGTAGATGTTGCGACAGTGTTTATCGTAGTGGTTGCGGCTATGTGCATCATAGCGGTTGCGATGGTGTGTATCGTAGTGGCTGCGACGGTATATATCGTAGTGGTTGCGACTGTGTGTATCGTAGTGATTGTGTCGGTGTGTATCGTAGTGGTTGCGACGGTGTGTATCGTAGCAGTTGCGACGGGGTGTATAGTAGTGGTTGCGACTGTGTGTGTATCGTAGTGGTTGCGACTGTGTGTGTATCATAGTGGTTACGAAGGTGCGTATCGTAGTGATTGTGACAGTGTGCATCGTAGTGGTTGTGACAGTGTGTATCGTAGTAGTT